CCCTCTATTGGCAAGTCAGGATTCCTGAATGCCTTCCTAGGGCTCATGTGGAGGAAGGGGCATGGGATTTGGGGTCAGCAGATCCAGATTTTAATCTCGGTCTTGCACTTCCCAGCAGTAGCTTTGCATGAGTTACCTAACATCTCTGGGCTTTGCCCTGCCTATACTGCAGGTACTCCTCATGAGGTTGTTGGCAGTGACTAAGCTAGATTAAAAGCCCTTTGCAAACTGAAAATGCTTTATGAATATGAGTTACCATCACCATTCTAGTACTATAGTGGCTCATAATGGGATTCCTGCATCATGTTTATTTACTGGGCATTTGTGGACAGCTGGTGTGGGCCTTACATAGTTTGATCTGGCCGTAGGTAGATAGGGGCTGTGTGATGTGCCTGGGGACACATCAGCGCAACTCTTCCCAGAGGAGATTGAGTACTCTGTGGGAGCTGGACCTGGAAAAAGGAGGAGATAGTCACCAGCTGGAGATGTAGGAGGCTGCAGAAGGAACTAAGAGAGCACAGGCATGGGGACTTCCGGAAAGAACCTTTGTGGCCAGGTCAGGAAGTGCAGTGGGGGCTTGAGGTGGCCAGAGTTGTGACCCAGATGGGGAAGCTGAAGAGACAGAGGTCCAAAGGGCAGGCACCCAAGCAGGCTTTGCCTTTGGGCGAGAGCACTAGGAAAAACGTGGGAGAATGTTTGCTCTAAATTGTGGGGTTCATTTTGCTGTTATTCATTTATCATTTTAAAAAGCAGTACTTAAGTATAAGGAAGAAAATGTAAAAAACATCAAAATGGTAGAAAATGAATGCTGTTTCAACCCTGCTTCTATGTATCTCGCTACACAAAAGGAGAAACTGATAACAGTGTGGTGGGGTCTTTCTGCTGTTCTCTGAGGGTTATGCACATAGACTTTTGAACAATGGGAATGTATTGTACAGCCTCTCTGAGACCTGGGTTCATCTTTTTGAACTTGAATTTTTCATGTAGGACCCGATCCAGGACAGTTTCTGTTGCAGCACTACGATCTACTTCATTGTTTGTAACAGCTGCATATATTCTGTTGTTTGGGTGTAGAATTGTTCAGACCACTATCGATGGGCACACGGACTGCTCCTAATCTTTTAGTATTAGACAATGCTGGGTACATGTCCTGCCAAATTCATAAGAATATTTCTCTAGGCAAAATTTCTATCAGTGGAATTCCTAGGGCTCTGTTTTAGAAAGATGACTGCTGCTGGAGTATGGAAAGTGAATTGGAAGAGAGACAGAGCAGAGGCAGGGTGAACGTTCAGTCAGTGGGCGCGGTAATGCTCACCTTTCAAGATTCAGAAGCTGGGGAGTGCCCAGGAGCTCCCTTCCCCGGTTGGAGTCCTCCTGGCCAGTAGAGGGCCCCACAAAAACACAGTTCCCTGGGCTCCGGATGATCTAACCAGAGCCCTCTTCTGTGGACGGGTTGGGGCGATTCATTCCTTCACCGCTCGTCACCAGAGAGCGCTCACTTGGGCTGCCGGCTCTGAAGACTGCTGCCTCCAGCCTCTCACAGCCACCGTGATGCCCTGTGTCTTAGCTGGTTCCGAGGAGTCATTTGCTCAGCCCCCTGCCAGGTTTCCAGTGCGTGAAATGTGCAGGAGATTAGTACCTCTCCTGCCCTCGTATCGTGTCTGTGCCAGTCCAACAATCAGTGCAGTTGCCTCTGGCAGCTATAACTGTGAATCCTCTGCCAGCTGCTCTGGGAACCTAGAAGAGTGGCTTTCTACTCAGGACCAGTATCCAAGGACAGGAGGGGGCAGGATAGCCTTCAGTGTGACCTTTTAACTCCCCAGTTCTGGATGGTTTGGGCCCCTTGAAGTTAGTGCTAAGGAGCCACACACTTGGGTCTGAGCAGCCAGCGGCTGGCTGATCACATATGGAGATTAGTCCTTCAGTGGTTCCTCCTGAAATCTGGATTTATGGGGGTCAAATGGATTCTACCTGGGAGGGGCTTCTGCTTGGCTCAAGATGTGGGGAGGTGGCGGCCTCTCATCTGGGGGAGGCAGTTTTCATGGCATTGAGAAGTCCTCACATTCATTCCCCTCACACCCACCCACCGACCAAGTCCTTTGTAAGGGGAGTTGGGGGAATAGAGAACGTCGGCAGCCTCCTGCTCGCATTCCTAGACACCGACTCACTGCGCCTGCCTCCGCTGGAACAGCCGAGCTGTGTGAAATGTCAGGAGGAGTTATGCTCATGGGCCCCCTGGCCCCATCTCTCTGTGGCTTGCATTTTCTTCCGTCTGCACTCTGTTCATCAGATGGAAATCAGCGGGTGCAATTAGAAGATAATTTGCCAGTTCCACACTTAATTTGGGGCCCCTTTTTTGCCTGACCAAATTACAGGGGAACATAATAGATTTTTGGTGAGAAATAGTTGGCTCTCTGGGAGAAAGAGAGCTCCCAGCTCTCTAGCTGGGCAGGCCTTTTGGTATTCTATGTGTTGTTCCCCCCTTCCCCCCTGCCCCACCTCTGCGGCTCCTGTGTGGCCCCCAAGCCAGGATCCTGATCCCCTCAGGGCCAGCTCAAGAGGTTTAACTCAGCTTGAGATCCAGAGAAAACAAGGAGCCCTCTGCAACCTCATAGGGCTGAAAAATGCTAAAGCTGGAAGTTATTTAGAGACCTAACCAAGGCCCAGACAGAGGCCGCAACTTGCTGAAGGCCACATGGCTAGCCCATAGTGGTAGTAACAATAGTCTTAATGATATTAGCAGCTAACATTTATCAGCCCTTAATGTGTTCCAGACTTTGTGCCAAGAGCTTACGTGCGGTGCATTGTCGCATTCAAACCCAGACAGTCTGGCTCTGGGCCCAGTCTGGACTCCAGACTAGCAATGGTAGAGCTCAGTATAGGCAGCTTGGGTTCGAATCCAGGCTTTACCTCGCACTTACACAGTCGAGGGACCTCAGGCAAGCAAATTTAAACTCTCTGCACCTCAGTTCCTTCCTCTGTAAAAAGGGGGAAATCACAGCATTGCCAACTAGTGTGGTTAAAATTCATTCGTACATGTAAGTCCTTTGAGCATGCTTGGTATGGTACAGGGCGAGTGCCTGTCCAGTGCTCACTCACTGCTGGCTGCCTCTGGGGCTGGAGTGTGGTGCCTGGGTGTCAGCAGGTAGATACGGCTGAGTTCTGCACAAATGCCGAAAACTGGTCTTCACTTTTAGAGGCAGTAAACAGAGTGATTGAGTGCACTGAGTCTAGGGTAGAGGTCCGCAAGCTATAGCCCACTCCCTGTTTTTGTACAGCTTGTGATTTGTTACACTTTTAAATGATTGTGGAGAAAAGCAAAAGAATATTTCATGGCACATGAAAATTACATGAAATTCAAATTCTAGGCTCCATAAATAAGATTTTATTGGAACATAGCCACTTCCTTCTGCTTACATTTTATGAATGGCCACTTTCGCACTGCAGTGACAGCTGAGCAGCTGTATTTGTGTAGGCCTGTGACAGAGTCTGTATTTGTGTAGGCCTGAAAAGCCTAAAATGTTTATTCTCTGGACCTTACAGAAAAAGTGTCTTGATCTCTGCTATAGAATCACACTGGGTTTGAAACTCAGCCCCACCGCTTACCAGCTGTATGTCTTCAGGCTAGTGACATAACCCTTCAGACCCTCAGTTTTCTTATCTGTTAAGTAGGGATGATAATATCTACCCCATATATTGGCAGTTTAATGTGGTAATACATAACAGATGCAGCACACTTAACACAGGCCTGGAATATACTGAGCACTGGATACTACTAAGTAGCTTATAATGGGCACATTCATCTTACTGCATTCATTGTTATCCCTGTACCCACTCAGCAGAGGAACGGGAAAAGTTTTCCTTGAAACCCAGTCACCACCTTTGCCATAGGCTTTTCTGTCACAATGACAGGGCTACGTCAGCAGAGAGGAGTATGTGCCTGGTGGGAGAGAGATGGTGCCAACTTCTCAGGTCCCACAGTGCTGTCTGGATGTCCTGTGCTCCAGCAGTCTTGCTTTTCCCCTCACAGTCCTGCAGGCAGAGGAATAAGGGCCTTTCCCAAAAGTAGGCTGCCATGGACAATCCCCACAGCTGGGGCTCTTCAGGCAGGCCCTGTTGAAGAAGTGTTCTCGTTTCTCTGAGATGGGAATTATCTCCACTTTATAAATAAGTAAAGTGAGGTACAGGGAGGTTAGGTAATTTACCCAAGGCCGAAAGACTAGTCAGTGGCAGGGCTGGGATTTAAATGTAGGCCAGTGTGACTCCAGAGCCAGAGCTCTTAGTCCCTCTTCAAAGGGAAACATCTTCCTCAAAGCCCTTTTGCAAGCAGGAGAATGCCCAGGGACTGGAGCCCAGGTCACCCATCCCTCTTTCTTTCGTTGATTTATTCATTCATTCCCAGCAGAGAATCGGCCGGTAGCGGTGTTTCTAACACTGTGCTTCTCATACTGAAAAGTGATGAAGAACCAGCCTGGGGTGCCTGTGGGGATGATAGGCCTAGGCATCTGGGGCAGACGATGCAGGCCAGGCAGAGGGAAGGGATGAATGGGGACCTGGTGCAAAGACCAAGTAGATGCCAGCCTGGAGCAGGGATCCCAGAGAGCAGCGCTCAGAACCGGGTCTCTGGACCCGCCTCTCCAGCCGGAGAGGCCCCCCTTTCTGGGGGAGTGGCTTGGCCTGGTGCTTTCACCCTGTGCTCGTCTTCACCTCCGACCAGTTTCTGTCTTTTGGGCAGTTCGTCAGGCTGGGGATACTTGGAGGCTGACGCTCACCCTCTGTCCTGCCCTGCCCTGCCCTGCCCTGAGCTCGGATGGACGCTCCCCACTCCTGGTTATTGTCTGCAGCACCGGCCTGCATCCTCCCTCCAGCCCAGCTCCACCCCTTGCCTGCAAGGTCTGTTTCCTAGCAGCTGCTCCAACCACACACCTCGGTTCCGCGAGGAGCCCCTCCTCTTCCTCCCTCCCCCCTCGCCGGGGGTGGGACTGAAGAAGAAAGCTCAGTTGACAGCAGCGCTTCTCTCCCAGCCAGTCCCCGGCTCCTGCCCTAGATGCGACCGTGTGTGTAACCTCCACGGGAGAGGTGGTTCTCCCGGAGTCCCGAGGGGCCCCCGAGCTTCCGAGAACTGGGGAGGATGAGCCCCTGTGGGAGTCGGCGGGGGGACAGGTGGCCCAGAGTCCTCCTGCCCCTCCGGCTGCTCAGGAGGGAGAGGTGAGCGCCGGCAGCCGGCCCGCAGCCAGAGGTGCCGGGAGCCCCAGCCCTGTCATGGTGGCGGTCTGCAGCCAGCCTGAGGCACTCCAGACGGGTCTGCAGCTGAGCTCGTTTATCTGGTGTGGGGAGAAGATGGGGAGTTACTTGTCCGTCCCGGCTTACTTCACCTCCAGAGACCCCTTTCGGTGAGTTGGGCTCGGAGTTCCCTTCCCCATCTCTTCTGGCCCCCGGGTCCTGAGGGGAGGGCAGAGGCCTCTCTGGATCCGCTTCTCGGATTTCACTTGTCCTTTGACCGTTGGTCCGGTCAGGCAGAAGCCAGGAGAGGCCATTCCCCAGCAGAACGGGCCTGGAGAGGGCTCCACACCATGTTCTGGGAATGGGGAAGTAGGGACATGGCCGGAAGGAAGCTCCTGGGGAACTCTGGCTCTCCTTGCTTCCCAGACACACCTAGAAGAGATGATGCCAGAAGATGCCGCTGAGCCTACCTGCTCTCGGTGTCACTGCTTTCGGGGAGGTGCACCAAGAGCTGTTCTTCCAGCTCTCACTTGTTTGACCTGCAGGCCTTGCTGCCTGCCCAGGAATTTGTCCCAACAAGCAGGACGGGCAGGTTTTGCCAAACAGCATGGAAGCTGGGTATGGCCCGGGTGTGGGCAGCTTGGTACACAGTAGGCACTCTGTGAGTGGTGGTTCTCTTAAGGGCAGGCACGTTTGCCTCTGGCCTCTACGGGCTTCGGAGCTCCCGGGTGAGCACAGTTGCTATGGGAAGGCCTGGGCAGGTGCCTTGGAGGTAGAGGCCCTTGGCTCTGGAGTGTTCCCCAGCGGCCGGTTGGCCAACCCCGACACATACCAGGTCTGCAGTCCTGAGTATCCACGGGTTTCTTGCTGTGGGGCTTCTCAGAGGGAAGATGTAGAAACTTTCTCTCTACCTCTGACCTGCCCCACCTCCAACAGAAACTCCCTAGGGGTGTCTGGCCCTTAGGGTCCCTCGTGAATGGAGCCATTCCTGTCTGGGGTGGGGCTTGTTTTCCTTCTTTGGGAACAGCCTGTTGTTGCTAGGGTTGCCTCCCCCTCACCAGTGGTCCTGGTTGACTTCTCTTTTCTGGCTCGCCCAGATCTCGCTGCTGGGATATTAGTCAGGTGGCCGTGCCCTGGGCAGGAAAGCAGAACACCATGTCATTTCTTGGAATTACTGGACCCGGGCAGAGTGGCAGGAAGCCTCTGGATTTGGGGCAGGGGACAGGGGGCTAGTTGTTAGCGCTGACGGCCAGAGTATCCTGCTAGGCACTTTATCCTTATCTCTGCCAACAGCCTAATGACATCGTGTTATCCCCATTGTACAGATGAGGCAACTGCTCTCAAGAGAGTTAATACGTGGGGTCTGTCCAGCCAGCTTTTACTATCTTCCTGAGTTTCTCTCAAACTTGAAGAGGCTGTATCTCCCTCTACCTGCACCTCCCCCAGGGATGTCCTCAGTTTGAATTTGCTTTCTTTTCTCTCCTAGAAGACAAAAAGCAGGAAAAGGGCCCCCAAAGTTTGTCAGGCATATCAAATGGATAGCAGAGTCTTTTCTGAAGAGCCGGTGGGAATTGATCTTAAATTTAGGAGGCAGGTTTTACCATGTGGAATAAAGATACCAAGTGTTTGAAGTAACTGCTAGTTTAGGTCCGGGCCTCATTAATCCCTCGTACTCTTAATCCTAGAAAGGCAGCTTGGGGGAGGGTTGTTCCCTTAGGAGGCAGGAGTGCTGAGCCCCTTTTAATCTCTGGAGGGGGGGGGGGGAGGACTCTTCTCAGGAGCTGGAACAGATGACTCCCAACCTGGGCCTTTGAGGGTCTTGGCACTGATGCTACGCCCCCTACCCCCACCACTGTCCTTTGTCTTATGCTGCTCCAGTCCCTTTGGGGGGCCTGACAGCCTCCACCCACCCAGCTCTGTGTGCCAAGCTGAATTCAAATGGGTACTGACTTACTGTAGACCCTCTCCCCTCCCTCAAATGGGAGGCCACATTCCTGAAGCCACTTTTGAAGAGAGAACCCACACATAGGACTGTGTGCCTCACAGGAGGGACCACCCAGACCCTCTGCTCTCCCAGGTATTGGTCTGATTAATCACCACTGACACTGCCTGGTCGCAGAGCCACTTCTACCATCAGCGCCCTCCTTTATTACAGGGTGTCCTCAAGGACCGCTGTCTGTCCCCTGGTGCCTGTCCCCTCCCTGGCCCTGAGTTTCCTCCTCTGCAAAGTACTGGGGCTAGACTTCCTGGGCTCCTGAACGTGACCCTTGCCAGATTCTATGGAGCAAATTAGGTTCTTGACCCTAGGCCTCTGGCAGAATACAAAGTCCCAGGAGTTCTAGGGCTGTGGTTGCAAGGAGAGGGACACAGCCAGATTCCTCGGGGACGTGATCAGGCATGACAGCACTCCAGGGAGGGAAGAGGGGATGGGGTGAAGAATGCACTTTCTGTGCTCTGTACACCCCTGCCTGACAGGCTGTGCTCAGCAGCGCGCATTGTCTCCTATGCCAGTGCCACTGGGGTGTGGAGTGAGATGCAGTTATAGGTGTGTTTCCAAGGATGAAAACACCTTAAATTGGAATTTACAAAAGAGGTAAATCAAGGAGTGACTTTTTTCTGAAATTTTTAAAGGATTTGTCTTTTTATAGAATTTCCCTTCATGTTCAACATTGATTTAAAGTGTTTGGTTTACACATTGTCTCTTAAAGAAAACAAGTCCATCTTTGTATTCTAAAGCAACCCATGTTTAAAGGGAAAAATTCTTAACCCTGCCCAGCTTAGCAGTACCATTTGGCAGCTGCCTTAGGTCCTCTGGGACTCTTTCTCCTCATCTGAAAAGTGAAGAGCTTGGATCAGGTGAATGGTTCTTACCTCTGCAACTCATGTGGCTCTTCAGAGACACCACGGGCTCTTTTCCATTTTTTTCTAAATAATGGAGATTCTACCCTTAACTGTAGTATGACTGTACAAATTACTTGAAAGTATAGGCTTCCTTCCCGGCTTTTAGTTAGAACGGAATCAGGACACTCTGCTAACACTTACTTCTTGCTGATCAAGATTGTTTGGTTCATTTTTTTAAACAGGATAACAACATATTCCATAATAATTACAGCTTAATTGACAGCCTGTTTCAGTCTGCAGGGACTGCAGGAAGGAGGAGTAATAAAGGGATCTTTTGTGGTAGAAAACCAACTCTGGCGGGCCGGAGTCATGAGGCCCCTGTTCTAGATGCCCTTCTGGATCCTGGGGGAGAGTCATTAGCGTGGCACCGTCTGGCTGTGGCGGAGAGACCTGCCCGCTCAGAGGCGAGGAGCTGAATCAGTTTCTCCCCAGCTGTCTGTTCATTCAGGACGCGAAGGGCCAGCATCCAGCCAAACCTTGACCAGGACTTGGGAGAGCTTGTTCTTCAACCTGTATAAATCCACTGTAATAGTGACTGTTCTGTTCCCTTACCACATAATGTTGAAATTTCACCAGTAATCATTTGGTCTGAAGAATTTGCCTCTGAGTGGGGACTGGGCCTCTGTCCTATCTCCCTTGGCTCCCCCCAGCCCAGCACCTTGCCTGTTCAGTCTTGCACATTCTCAGTGTGCAGTGACTAGTTCCTGATTGATAGGAATTGATTATAATCAGTTGGTTAGGTAAGTAGCTCATTCTAGGGCCTCCACTCAGAAATCTGTTTAGTTCTGGGCCAAGAAGCAGGTCCACACTGCTTAGGCATGGAAGGGAAGCAAGGAGTCCGTCCGTGTTTGCCGTTGGTGTTCCCAAATTAGAGAGGGAGGGAGGAAATGAACGCATTCTGGGTGCCTGCTGCGAGCCAGGCATCATGCAGGCATTTGTACATGGTTTAACTCTCATGACCCCATGAGGTTTTATCATTGCCACTATACAGATACGCAACTAAGGCTCAGTCATGAAGTGACTGGTTTTAGGTGACCAAAAGAGTAAGTAGCAAAGAGGGAATATGAATCGTCTAGGTCTTAAATAAGTTATTTGTGAGAATCTCAGCTGATTATCTTCTTTTTAAACCTGTGTGTTCCTTGCTGATTCAAAAGACTTCAGTTTGGATCTGAGCTGCCCACTGAACTGACCACCAGGGTTTGGTCATTTCGTAGCTCTCTGGGCCCTCTGGAGTGCTTTGGAAGAGGAGTTTTGGAGGTTGTCCTCAATGCATGTGGGCCTCAATGATTTCTCCTGGTTGGAGGGTTTCATTCTGGCTGCTCAGGAGCATGTGGTGGCTGATGCCTCGGCCCTGGGTTCCAGCTCTATCACCTCCAAGCTGAATGCCTTTGAGCCTGCAACCAGGGCGGATTTTGACCTTGACTTGAAATTTTCAAAAGTTGAAGTTGGAAATAAGGCTTTGGGAGGAACATGTGGTGGCCATGGCCTCTGAGTATCTTGAAGTGGGATTTTTTTGAGTAGCACCTTACATTTCCACAGTGTTTTAGATGTTTTTCTTAAAAGGGCAGAGACCGGGTGTTGGGGGGAACAGAAGGCTATGGACTGAATGGGGAGAATCACTGTGGCATTCACATTCCGTTGCTTGGGTCTAGGGAGAGGCCTTGCAAAGTGTTAACACCCAAAGGGACTTGAACTCTCAGAGCTCCAGCCTCCTTATTTTCACAAATGCGAATCCTGAAGCCCAGCTTGATAGCTATGCTTCATCACTCAGATGATGCAGTACAGTGGGAATGGCTTCATAGCCGAGTCATAGATTCAGGTTCCAGCTCCAGCATGTGTATAGTGGATGACTTTGCAAAAATGACTTGACTCTGCTTTTCAGTCTTATAGTCTGTAAAACGGGAATAGTTCTATAGCCTTGCAGGGTGTGGCCAGGATTAGCGAAAACGTAAGTAAGGCACCTCAAACATTACGTAAGTAATGCCTCAGTTGTATGGTTGCTTGAATGGTTGGCACTCAAGTAACAGGTAACAGTAGCTGTTTTTAATTCTAAGTCTAGCATAGCAACTTCTCTGGTGGTTTAAGAACCAATTGTGTTCTGTGACAAAGCAGCCTGAGAACCCACAGCCAGCCCTCCTATGAGCTGTTTCCCTTCCTGTTGTTCTCAGAGACCTGTAGCAGCTGACCTTGGACATATGGCTAGCTGTGCCCTTCAGAGACATTCCTTGACATAGCTGTGTGCATTGGTGATGCTACTCCCTGGCCAGGTGTTCTTCCCAGAAGTCTGGCATGGCTCTCTCCTTCATGCCTGCACTTGTTTCTCTCCCTGCCCCCTCTCCTGGGCCTGGCCAGGGCTACTTGCAGCAAACAAAAGCAGGATATTGGCGGTAGAAAGGAGGACGGGCTTGGTGCGCCCATGCCCTGCGGCACACATACCATTGTGAGTGTGTAACAGGGCCCAGGCCTGCAGCTGGGTCATGTCTGCACCAGCTCTTCTCCACTGCACACAGAAAAGGGCAGGGCCTGGTGACCATGAGCCACAAACCCTGTGTTCCCACCTGGACTACTGGTTCTTGCCACTCCCACCATTTTCATTTTGGAAACATTTGCTAAAAGCTTATTCTGCCGGACCCTTTGCTAGGTGCTAAGGCTGCCAAGAGTAGATGGGACACTGTTCCCATCCTCAGGGAGTGCACAGTCTAGTGAAGGACAAGGTCAGGAACCCAGGAACTTTAAGTTAGAAGGTGGGAGGCAAGAAGGAAGTCCCTGCTTCCAGTGTTGGCCCTCTGCTAGGACCTCCCAGTTGTCCAGAGCTCACCTAATCCTTACTGCTACCCTGGAAGTAGGTGGTGATGTTGCCATTTCACAAATGAGAAGTGAAGCAGGTATCACGTAGGTGGTATGTGGTGTGTTGAGATCTGAACCTTGGATCGTCCAGGGGAAAATGTAGATAATCACAGGGAAAGACACAGATAGAATTGGGGGCATCTGGGGTATTGTCTAATCCCTTCATTTTCAGGTTGGGAGACAGAACCCAGAGAGGGAAAGGTGCTTGTCCCAGGGCACGTAGCTCTGGAGAACTTGAACCCAGGTCTCTCTCCCCACCGTTCAGAGCTCATCCAGCATGCCTTTTACATTGAGAGGAGTTTGAGCAGCGTGCTTAGAACACGGTCTCCCCATCCCCCAGGCCCCCACCTCCTATGATTCATGGTTCTCTCTGTGCCATTCTAGGCACCTCATGTCCTACTCTTCACTCCATGCCCAGCTCTCAGGACCCTGAAGTTCAGCACCCGTAGAACACGTAGGGAATGCTACAGGGTGGGAATGGCTGTCAGCAGAAGCCATCAGTGTTTGTTGAGCAGCCATGGGGGATTAGGGGCTCCACAAAGCGGGATCCTCAGGCTCCTGCTGCTCTAGACGCCCCCACCTCAGCTGTTCTCCCAGCTGCTTTGAGTCCTTCCTGTCTCCCTCTACCTCCTCCAGTGCCCAGGAGTGGTAGCAGCCATTGTGCCCTCTCGCCTCACATTGTTAATTAGGTTTTGTTTAGACTTTCTCTTCCTCAACTCATTATAATCCCTTGGAAAGTGGAGTAGGGAACCTCGTATATCTGTCTTTATGTCTGCAGTGCTTAGCAAGGTGCTGTGATACTCTTGCCCTCCACAGTTTGCAGAAGGCTTCCCTTAGATGACCAACTTTAGTCTTCACAGTGGCTCTTTGTAGTAGGTTGCTGTAGTCATATTTTGGCAGCAGTGAGGAATGAGAAGTTATCCAAAGCCACCCAGATAGTGGCGATAAGTGGCCTATCATGTGAGCTGTCAGTATCATCATCATCTTTACCAGCGGTTAACACTTACTGCGTTCCTACTGTGCTAGGCCTTTTACTTTAACATGTATTATTTAATTTTCACAGTCGTCCATTTTACACATGAAAGAACTGGGTCAGAGAAGTGAAGTAACTTCCCCAAGATGATATAACTAGTTAACTAGTAAGGGGCAGCGTCAGGATTCAGACCAAGTGGCAGCTCCACCCACCTCTCAGAAGCAAGGACCTGGCCGTTGTGGATGGGGTGAGGCCTTGACAGCAAGAAAGAGAGTCTGTTAACTAAGAAGAAAGAGGCCCTTGGCCCTGGGTCCTGGGAGGCTTGTCTGTGCAGCAGATAAGGTTTGCAAACACACCTGTCCTACGAGGTGGAGCTTTACAACCAGGTGGCTGGAGGACAAAGGAGCTGGGGGTCTAACACATACATCTTGCACAGTGCCAATGGGGTTTTGTTTTTTCCCCTAATATTTTATGTTGAAAAATTTCGAATATATAGAAAGGTAGAAAGAAAAGTTCAAAGAGCACCCATATATCCTTTACCTGGATTCATAATTTGTTAACTTTAAACCATTCTCTATTCATGTTCATGCACACACATATATACCCACAATGCATTTATTTATTTTTTGCTGAACTATTTAAAAGTTACAGATATCTTGATTTTCACCCTTAATTACTTTAATACGTTTTTTCTAAGAATTGTCTATATAACTAAAGTACCATTATCACATCTAAGGAAATAGACAATAATTTCACTTTCATTATATCTAATAGACAGTAATTTTAGTTCCAGAGTCCAAATTCAGATTTCCTCAGTTGTTCCGAAATGTCACTCACAGCTGTTATCTTTTTCAATCCAGGTCAAATCCACAGTGTAGGTATTGCATTTTCTTGCTTTTTGAATCCCTGTGCTTTTTTTCCTCCACCATGAGATTAACTTTTTTTTTCTTGGTATCATTAATATACAATCACATGAGCAACATTGTGGTTACTAGAGTCCCCCCATTATCACATACCCCACCAGATACCCCATTACAGTCACTGTCCATCAGCGTAGTAAGATACTATAGAGTCACTACTTGTCTTCTCTGTGCTGTACTGCCTCCCCTAT